GGATGTTTACGCATCGCCACCGACGCGGACGCCATCGCATCTTATCAGTGAATTTCGGACTCGGATTGTTCCCAGTTCTACCCACCCCTCTACCCCTCACCCCTCTCAACTTTACCCAAATGCACTCTGAAATAGTTTCCTCCAGTTTTTGCCGTTGTTAGTGCTCTCTTTCATTCATTTAAGCCTGAAGATGTGTTCATTTATTTGATATTTACCCGACGTCATTTTCAGCTCTATAAGAGAGCCAATCCTACTACTATTATAAAGGCGAAAGTTTGTAAGTATGGATGTATGGATGTTTGTTACTCTTTCACGCAAAAACTACTGAACCGATTTCAATGAAATTTGGCACATAGGTAGATTATTACCGGGACTAACACATAGGATACTTTTTATTCAGGAAAAATTATATGTTCCTGAAGGAGTCCGATATAACCGAAATCCACCCGGGCGAAGCTAGGGGCAGAAGCTAGTCTTATTATAATGCTTAACTTTCCGAATTTCCATGACCGTTATTAAAGTTTATTATGAATAATTTTAATAATACTTAGTTTTCTATATTGTTTTGGGGACATTTGCCACGCCTACGATTGTAAGATTAAATTATTTTAAAAGGCTAATGTAAACAGAATAATTGTTTAAGATGTTTTGTATAAGACTACTGTATTTCGTATTATTTTGCACCCACGATGTTATTACTTATTTTCAGGAAACGAAGATCAAATTGAGCCTCCTTCAATCCAAGCAGAGGCTACTGTAGCTACATCGTCTGGTGGGAGTGAAAATAAGAGGGAAGAAACTACTACTAGCAATCAAAAATTTCTAGACCTAAATCTAGACCACCCCAAACCGTCGTTGACGCATTTCGACAGGGATTCGTCAATAAGCTCTGACTCTGATTCAGAAATCAGCGATGAAGAATCTAAACAAGACACGCTTGATGCTTCTAAGAAAAACCTTGGTTGTTTCATATGTCCAAATGAAAGTGATCACATTGGAATAAAAAAAGCTTTTATGGAAAAACATCCAATCCAAGTTCATGAGGGAAAAGGAGTTAAACTTCCGTTTGATCCATCCAAACTCTACTATCGTCTTTTGCCGAATGGAGAAAAAATACACAGAAAATGGTTATCTTATTCCATTGAGCTCAACAAAGTATATTGTTCTTGTTGTATGGCTTTCGGAGGCAAGGATAACAGAGATTCCACATTTATTACTGGACATGATGTTACACCAAAACACATTTATAAATCGCTGGAAACTCATGAAAACTCCCATTATCATGAACTTGCGGCCAAGACAGCTTTTCAATGCCTAAAAGGTCGTGATATTGAGAGTCTTCTAGCGGGACACCAATCTAAACAACGGGAAAGAGAAGTTCACACAAGAAGATTAGTTGTTCATCGTTTGATTGACATAGTTTTATTTCTGGGTAGACAAGGCATTGCTTACAGAGGGGACAAAGCAGAAGGGGCCTACTCACTTGACTCTGTAGAAAATCATGGTAATTTTCTCGAACTTGTCATGATGGTTGCAAACTATGACGTCATTTTACAAAACCATGTGAAACAGTGCATTGAGGAGAGTAAGAAACATAAACAAAAAACAATTGAGAAAAGAAAACTTGTCGGAAAGTCAACCAAAAGACAGTACGGGCGAGGCTCTTTGATCACATTTTTGTCCAAATCGTTTATAAACAAGTTAATTAAAACGATTGCTACAATTGGACGTAATATCATATTGAAAGACCTCAAAGATAGTATTATTTACAGCGTGATGGTAGACTCTACCCAAGATGTGGCAGTGATGGACCAATTAGCTATATGCGTACGCTACGTTGTCCAAGGAAAGGTTTATGAAAGGCTACTAGAGATGACTGTTATTGATGATTCTAGTGGACAAGCATTGTACGAGCGAATAACATCGGAATTAGCAAAGTACGGAATTCAAGCATCAAATATAGTTGCGTGTTCATTCGACGGGGCAAGTAATATGAAAGGGTGTTACAATGGCTTACAGGCTCACTTCAAAAAGGCAAATGAAAATATGATTTATACTCACTGTATGGCTCACGTCTTAAACTTAGTAGTAGCTGACTCGACAGTAAAGTTTCTTCAAGCAGAAAACGTATTTGGATTGGTAGAGGAATCTGCAGTTTTTCTGAGTACATCTTACAAACGAATGGCAGTGTGGGAGAAAGAAACAAAAAAACAACATACCGCCCACGACAAACTTTATAGACTGCAAAAAATAGGAGCCACTAGGTGGTGGAGTAAACATAAGGCTCTGTCATCGATAATTGATGAAAGTGTTTTAAGGAGCGGGGAAATTGCCACGGACAAATTAACTAACGTCATTACCGTATTCAAAGAAATATCTGATGGTAATTTTGATTGCAAATCCAGATATATGGCCAGAAATTTGGCAAGTCAATGGGCGAAATTTGAAAACCTATTTATTTCATTCGTTTTACTAGATATGTTTCTTGTTATAACGCCTGTTTCGAAATATTTGCAAACTAAAACATTGGACTACGCTATTGCTTGGGATTTGGTTCAAACACTACTTAAACAGATCAATGAAAAAAGAAATGACAAACATTTTGAATTTTTGTACACGAAAACAAAAGAGTATGCGACTGCTGTTAACAGTAAATTGGAAGATAGCAATATTGATTTGGAATTACAATTGGACTTTACGGAAAGAAGAATTTCAAAGAAAAAACGAATGCCTGGGGAACAATCCAGTGATGATGCTCCTGAAATATCAGCAGCTCAACATTTCAAGCATGTATTTTTCAATATGTTAGACTGTGCTAGAATAAGCATAGAAGAAAGATTTTGCCCCAACAGAGAAATTTTAGAGGACCTTTCTTGGTTAAATCCAAGAAAATTTAATGACATAATGACGACAAAAGACTTTCCGGCTGGAGTCCTCTCTTGTATCTCAAAACTTTGCAATGTTGAAAGAAGTATATTATTAATAGAACTTAAACAATTTGCAGATCAGTACAAAAGTTTCATAAAAGTTGTAAAAACTCAAGATGAACAGATCCCAGACGAAGAATCAAACAAAGCAGAAGAAATTTTAAAAGACCGTGAACTCGATTCGGAACCTGAATCAGAAGAAGACAATTTTCGTGGTTTCTGCAATGACAGTAAAAAATGTTTCAAGTGTTTGTCATGCGCCTTCTCAGTTATTTTTGAACTCTCTGGATCAGGATTGTTCACTAACTTATATGTAGTTTATAAATTTATCCTAACGATACCCTGTACACAGGTTACATGTGAACGGGTTTTTTCGAAGTTAAAAATAATTAAGAATCGTCTTAGGGCTAGTTTAGGCCAAGACCTTATGTCTAGCCTTATTTTTATGAACATAGAGAGAGACTTGTTTTCTGACATCGACAGAGAAGAAATCATTAATGTCGTGGCCAGTAGTAGTGACGAACTTAAAAGAAAACTGATGGGATAGGCTAGGCAATCGTTAATAAGGCTACTATCACTATGGTAGGAATTTTTGTCGTCTTTCTACGGTTAACACAATTTTTTTTTAACTTCTTTATGTAATAATTATTTATGTTATGGGGGGGGGGCCTCAAATCACCATCTAGCCGAGGGCCTCCAATGGAGCCAGACCGGGCCTGTATAATACCTTTCAAACAAATGTAATTTAAGTCGTGGCGGACGTGGGTGCAGCGTCCATACATTTTTGCCCATTGTCCTTTAATCAAGTCTCATGTCGCTAGGACTTATAGTTTCCGAGATATATGCGAAAAACCGAAAAATGGGACCTTCAAGCCCCCCCCCCCCCCCCAGGCTTAGGGGCTACGGGCGGGGACTTTTGATATGTTTACCTCCTAACTTGTCCAAACAAAGTAACGAAATCATAAATAGTGTTCTAAGCATTTCCCTCTATACCTTTCGTTGCCTGGACTACTTTATATTACAGGCATCAATGTATTGAAAGTTTGAAAAATTATTAATTCAAATTCGACAAGTTAGTCGTCTTTAGACAGGGCGTGTGTGTGATAAATGTGTCAAACCAAATTTGTCACTTATTTTTAACATTAAAAGATGAAAGAAAGAAAGAAAGAAAAAGTATTTATTGGCCAACACGCAAATACATTTGTAGAAAAAAAAAACAATGAGCAAAAAAAAAAAGAACAATAAAATTAAACAATACAGAAGAGAAAGAAGAATGGCCAATCAGGACCCTGCCTCAGCTTAATGCTGTTATCGTGGGAACGAATATTCCCACCATAACAGCGCTGGTATTCTGGCAGGGCCTGTACAAGGATGCCAGAGGGATTAAACATTTAAATAATATAAATTACCAAAAAGTATATAAAAAGGAAGTTCAGTGCAAAAATATATAAATATTAAAATACTTAAACTATGTAACATAAATAATTAAATTATATAAGCATAATATATTAATAAAGTTATAATGGTAATTAGGCCGAATATGCTACTCTCCTCGCCCCCCCTGCGAAAGCCGCATCCGGAGTGTAGCCCCGGAACGCAACCATGCCGGCCCGCCTTGACATTGACAGTGACACTGCACACTGACAATTTCTGAGTTAAAATTCTCCCTCAAGTGCCACGTAACCAAATAAAGTCTTTGCACGTAACACGTAAATAAACACATTGCATTGCACTGATGACAGATCTCAGTGCTCGGTAAAACCTACGAGGTTTTTGAAATGTAATATTATTATTTATTTTAATGTGAAATTGAATACACAAATAAAAAAAGAGAAAATTACCGGAACAATACGTATTTATGACCTTTGAAACCAATCAAAATAAAAAGAATTGACTTTGGATTTTGTAAATGCGCGCCTATGAACGCAGAGCTGAAAACAAATGAAAATCATAAAGAAAATTAAAATAAGTTTAATAGCGATACAGCATTCATCATAAGTGTTAAGGTAAAGACGTTCTAGTGCAAAAAGAAAAAAGTGCAAATTTTTAAAATAAACAATCTTATTCAAAGTCTATAAGCTGGTATTTGTCATTTGTTTAAATGAATACAGACCAAACTAGTATCTAAAAATACAATATAAATAATATCATGTCTATTTTTTTGTTTTATATTGACAGAAAAAACTAGTTTTCGTATGAACAATTGTAAAATTAATAATTGATTTAATACATTCTCATATACATCCAAGAAAAAAAATCATATAAATATTATGATTTAACTTCCTATCAATGTAACAGCAATTTTGCTTAGTGAGGCTTTTTCAAAAATGTATAGATTTTTTGAGCCGTAGTGGCAACGTTTATTTTCATAATCGGGCTAAGTTTATTGGTCCACGAGGCTGAGCTAGCTCCAAAATTTCTGGATTTTGGTGGACTATGAAGATCAATTAGTTGTGCTAATAGATAGCATTGGTGTTCATTACCTCTGTATCCCAAGTTCCGATGATAACGCTCGTCTACCAGTCTACAATATGGAAACAATATGTGGGTCACTCCTGTCTTCTCAAATGCTTGATCCTGTAAGCTTCTTATCCGAATTATAATATCTTTACTTTTTCCCCAAAATTGATTGTCAATTAATTCAAGCGCTTGTTCGTTCGATAACCCATAAAGTATTTTGAATTTCTCAAAGAGGGTTATTAGCTGTAAGCCTGTTCCAGCCAAATGGTTCATACAAGCAACTTTCAATATTTCATCCAACTTCATACTTTTTTGTTTATCTGTCGAAGTCATATTTTGAAGCATTAACCCGAAGATTAAAACTAAAAATTGTTTTCCTGACTCATTGAAACGTAGTACATTAGTTAATACCCTGTTTAAAGGTTCACTAGGAGAAGGGATAGTTGATCCAAACGGGTACGGAACCATCTGGTAATAGACCTTTTGTAAATGTCTACTTGAAAACGCTGCTTTCAAGTCTAATTCCGATTTCGTGATTCGTCTTATCATTACAAATATAAGAAATACTGCTGTGCAATGAAGTGCAAGTAATGACTCATTGTTATAATCTATTGAGGTTTCTTTTCCAATTATAGATTCAAATGCCTTCTTCATGTCTTCCCTAAAGTCGTCGAAAGAATTACTGCATGATTTTAATAGATTCTCAAACTGGTTTTCCAAATCAGGTGATGTGATATATGTCGGAATGGTGAACTCATTTTCACATGTCGAGCTGAGGTTAACTAATTTCGTTTCTGTATTGTTGAAGTCCGGGGCTGTTAATAATATATTTGAAAAAAGTTGTCCGACATCCTGCGGCTGTGATGTTGCACCGAAATAATAAACATAAAAGGTTTTTAACAATAATATGTTAGCAGTGATCTCGGTTTTTTGGTCAAATTTCAAACGATTAAAATCGTTCTGAATTATATCATCTGACCAGAACCATTCTTCAGGATTTAACACATCACAAAATCCTTGCATCACGGCTATCAACTCAGGGGTAAAAATGCCTTCAAACTTACTAAAACTCATGGCTGATTCAATGAATTGCGTTGCGGACACCACGATGTTCGTTAATGTAGATTATATGTATTTTTTATCGTTTGGTATATAAAATGATATTGTCGTGCACTTTGTTAAGTTCTCACTGAACCAAAGAGTAAAGTAAGTATACCAACTGAACCACTGACTTAGATTACAGATATTCACATTGATCGGAACGAAATGAATGGCCACAGACCAATAAGAGAACAAGTTTGAATGGCCAATACGCGCGGGCCAAGCGTATTTATACAGAACAGGAACAGGGTTGCCGTTTTACAAAATTTAAAGTTACCTGACCATTTCAATAATTCCGCCAGATATGGGGAAAATTAGTTGCTGAGAATCTGCTAAATGTCGTTTTACTTTTTATGTCAACGTAAAAAATATTATTCTTGTATTTTTTTACTCGTCTTATGTACATACCTTTTTATATTATTTTTATTTATAAAAGCATCAAATTAATAAATAACAAAATAAATACATGATACTTTCACATTTACGACCTCCGTGTTCAAGTGGTTTGTACGCCAAGTTTCAAGGTATCGCCTACTCGTGAGATCCCGGGTTCGAATCCCGGTAGAGGCAGACGTTTGTGTGATGAATGCGAACATTTATTCTCTAGTCATATATGCTGAATATATATTTCTTCATAAATTTCTATATGTGTCAATATATTTATTTTATCCATTACCCTAGAATCCCATAACATAAGCTTTACTTTGGGGCTAGGTTAATTGGTGTGAGTATTTTAAATATTTATTATTATTATTTAAAATTAATACATTTATACTTTATAACCTTCTTACTTCCGCCCGCGACTTCGTCCGCATTAAAGTTAGTTTTATGACAATGCTACAGGAACCTGACATTTGTTTGTGTTTAATTGTGATTAAATGAATCCTGTCACAATCCAGGTAAAAAACTACATATATGTGTGCCAATTACAAACAAAGTCTTTCAGACATTTTTGCGATTATTTTTATATCCAGTGTTTGAACTATTTAAAGGAACTTCCCCATATTTTTTACGAAAATCTAACACAATAAAACTAAACGCATGCACAGATTCAAACCCTTTGATGGAAATGAATGAATGAATTATGTTAGTATATTTGTTAAATAAAACTAGTTTTTTACGGGTTAATGCACGAAACTTTATTTATTTATTGACGTTTCGCAGCCTTTACAGGCTGCATCGTCGGAATCAATATTACTACCTTCGAAAGACTTCTATTGAGCGTTCGGTTATTTCATTTTTCGATTTTTAAAGTTCATACATAGACAATAAAACTTTAAAAATTGTTTTGGTTTCACTTAGTCTTGATATCAATGAACGAGAATGAAAACAATTTATCTAACCAATTAAGACTTGTTTTTAGTAGTTGTTAGTTCAAGGAGAACTCATGTGGAAGCTCAGTTACCAGTATTTGTAAAGAAAATCGGAATCAAAAATGACTCTTTATAATATTAGTATATATTATATTGATTAAATTAACTAACTTACACTCACACCAATTAGCCTAGCCCCAAAGTAAGCACTATAAGGCTTGTGTTATGGGATGCTAGGGTAACGGATAGAATACATATACTGTACATATATAAGTATATTTATATAAATACATATTAAACATCCTTGACTGGAGTACAAATGCTCGTATTCATAACACAAACATCTGCCCCCACCGGGATTCGAACCCGAGACCTCTCGAGTCGGCGACAGCCATGAAACCCGACGTACAAACCACTCGGCCACGGAGGTCGTCAAAAAATTTAAAAATTACACACAAAAAATATATGTAATACTAGAACAATGAACCTAAAACTAAAAACCTTAAAAAATATAATATAGTAGCTAAAATATATTATTAAAAGGAGTCCCGAGCAAGGTTCCGAAAATACTGGCAGCGTTCCCCTTTGAAAAGCGCGACTAATTCTTTGTCCGAGGTAGCTGCCAGCTCTTCGGTCTCCTGTGATGTCGACTAACCTTTTTGTTATTCCTTAAAAAGCCTTATAGCGCTAGGACCCCACAGACCAATGACTTAATGTGCTTTATGTATTATAAGTTACAATTTTTACTGAAAAGGCAAGGCGATAGCTATCGTATGATAAAGTTTCTAGAAATCGTTAAATATCCCCCTCCCCCCTAAACATTCATAAATTCTCCTACATTTAGCGACAAAGTCCCCAAAACGGCAACACTGAGCAGGAATGTTAATTGTTGAAAATTACTGTGAAGTGATGTATTGATCCGATGTTTGTAATATTATTCTAGGAACGCCAACGTAACATGATAAAGAATGTAAACAAAGACCTTTACTGAGTTACATTGCGATAGCGAGCGACTATTATCTCCACGTGGAGCTCGATGGCGCAAGTGGTTAGTGCGTTCGGCTGCGATCGTTGAAGTTAAGCAACTTTCGCAGTGGTCGGCCATTGGATGGGTGACCAAAAATTTACTTTCTCGAGCTCCTTCGTGCTTCGGAAGGCACGTTAAGCCGTTGGTCCCGGCTGTATTTGCAGTCGTTAGCACCCACCAATCCGTACTGGGCCCGCGTGGTGGGTCATGGCCCATTCTCCCTATCCCATCCATAGGGAAGGCCTGTGCCCCAGCAGTGGGGACATTAATAGGCTGATGATGATGATGATGAGCATTTGCTCACACATAACTGTGACACACTTTCTGTGTTCAGTGATTATATCAGTCTATCCTTATCTCTCGTACGCAGTAATGTCAGCAGTTTGTCGACAACGTCTGTCGTTCATGGTACAGGAAAGCGGCCACAGTGCAATGTTTATGAATCTCCGGAAATATCGGAGACTCATAAAAAACAAGGTACATGGTAACAATCCCGTTAATAGCTATAATGTTAGTGACCATGAAACTTTAAAACAATATACCAATAAAAAATGTATTGAACTCTTGATACTTTTTTAAATGATTTATCTCATTTCGTTGGAATTACTTTTGTTTCGTGTTGCAGTTAGGGTTGCAACAATATATCGAATAATTGATAAAATCGATTATATCATCATTAAAATATCGGTAATTATATCTACACGTCTCATTCGTTCATTCCTCAGAAATACATTCCCCTTAGAGACACTTTTAATAAAACTAAGCTTTTATTCCCCAGAGCAGAAATACACTTTCGGCTCGGAAACTTATTTATTTGCTACTGCCGGCGTCGGGAGTTAGTTAGAAATAAAGGTTCACTGCTCGTTCCCCGTAGCTGATAGCGTGATAATATGGAGCCTATATGTTGACCCGACGTCTTAATAATATTCGTGCCAAATTTGAAGTAAATCCATGCAGTACCGTCGAGACCCGTAACTTCACCTGTGCCACCAATCTTCGCCTGTTATCGAACTAATTCATGTAGCCGTTCCAATATTACCGTAGGCTTCGCAAAAAATTACTAAATATCAACTATTTTTAAGTTATGGCAACATTTTGTTAGTATTTAAGACTAACTTCACGTTGTTGGTGATCAGTGCACTTTTTTCACAAGACAAACAACACGTTTTTTTTCGTTTGTATTTGAACTTCAGTTTTAGACAGTGATACATAAAAGGTAATTATAAACTTTTTATTTAATTGTTATCTTTAATTAATACTCTTTCAAATGATATTATAATTTTCTATATAGTCTACGTTTTAAAGTGTTAATTCAATAAAATGCTATTGTGGTGACAGAAGCAGCCATCTTGTTGCCAAACTTCGTCTACTCTAGGGTTGTCAATCCTAATATTATATGTCATAAACTATGTGCTAAATTTTTAGACATAATAAATAACCTTAATAATAATAATATCATCGTTTTCATGTTTTTATTTTTAGGGTTCCGTACCTCAAAAGGAAACAACGGAACCCTTAAAGGATCACTTTGTTGTCCGTCCGTCCGTCCGTCTGTCAAGACCGTTTTTCTCAGGAACGCGTGAAGGTATCAAATTGAAATTCATATCTAATACTCAGATCTACTGTCCCTGCGAGCTGTGAAAAAATTAACCTTCTAAGCCAAAGCAATCAAAAGATATAGCCGTTTATGCTGCAAATTTCTACAAATTTTCGAAACTCGCACGGGAATCAAAACCTACTGGGTACTTCCCGTGAACTTAGAAATCTTGATATTTGGTATGAAGTAACGTCTTATAATACAGCGAAAATCGTAAATTTTTAGTTAGGTGCATCATATAATATTTTTTTTTTTTAATAATTATTAAAATATACCTACAGGTTTGTACGGAACCTCGGTGTGCGAGTCCGACTCGCACTTGGCCTGTTTTTTTAAGCATTTAACTGCTGGATGCTTAAATCTAAAGAAAAGTTTACTAGAAAAAATTCTACGCGGATCAGGCAGCAGACGGGACTCGGACCTCCGCTATCCGGGCAAATGCACTGACCATTATGCTACCGCGGCGCTGACGGCCGTGTCGAATTTTCTCTAGCTACTACTACGTACTACCTACAATGCGAAGGGATAGCGTTGTAGGTACCTACAATGCGAAGAGATGGCGTTGCCTTGCAGCCTAAGGCTAGAGAAAGCTCGACACGGCCGTCAGGGCCGCGGTATGTTTGTTCAAAAGAGGAGTCAAGTATCCTGAAAGAGTATTAAATTATACAAAAGGGGCCATATCATTGATTTTCGCAATAACGGCAGGAGGAGAATGTCTTCCTCCATATGTCGTGTATAAAGCAAAATACTTATATACACAATGGACACTAAATGGACCTTTAGGATCCAGATTCAACCGATCTAAATCCGGATGGTTTGATAGTCTTTTATTCGAAGATTGGTTTGAAAGTATCATTTTACCGTGGGCGAAAAAGAAAACTGGTACTAAGGTTTTAATTGGAGATAATCTCGCGTCCCACATAAATTACAAAATTGTTACATACTGTGAAGAAAATAATATACGTTTTGTATTTTTACCACCCAATTCGTCACATTTGACGCAACCCTTGGACGTGTGCTATTATGGCCCATTAAAAAAGCTTTGGCGAGAAATTCTATTAAACTATGAAGCAACTATTCACAAGGGACATTTCCCAGATCTACTAAAAATCCTAAAGAATCAACTGAACGAGAAAAGTCATAACATAATCAGTGCTTTTAGGAGCACTGGTATTGTACCATTCAATCCCGATAAAGTGATTAGTAAACTACCAGACTCAAAACAGTCAAAGATGCCATATTCTATTGACATTGCATTACTAGATTGGTTAAAAGAGATACGCACAGCAGATCCTAATAAAAAAGTACGAAGTAAAAAAATAAATGTTCCACCGGGTAAAT